TCAGGAATGAAGGGCTTATTCCCTGGACTCCTGAGAATACTGCCGACTCTCAGCCCACTCTGAGAATTTCTCTCAGTGGAAAGACCTGCCTTGCTCGAACGATTCTTCCTTTGAGGGGCAGCTCGGATCCAATGACCGATCAACGTGCAAGTACCAAGGCCTGGCCCAACCCCACCTTGGGACCCCGAAGAAGGGGCACTCCAGCTTTGGAACTGTCCGTAGGGTTACCCGAGGCCTCTTCCTCTCTCTGTCCTGCCTTCTTCCCTTCCCCCGTTCCCAATCCCCCCACACAAGTGATGATCCCCCCAAAACACTCTCTAAATAGACTCTTTTTCTATTTTTTTATTTTAGACAGAGTCTCACTCTGTCACTCGGGCTAGAGTGAGTGCCAGGGCGTCAGCCTCGCTCACGGCAACCTCCAACTCCTGGGCTCAAGCGATCCTCCCGCCTCAGCCTCCTGAGTAGCCGGGACTACAGGTATGCGCCCCCACCATCCCTGGTGGAATTTTTAATTTAATTTTTTTTTGTAGAGACAGGGTCTCGAGATGTTGCCAAGGCTGGTCTTGAACTCCTGGTCTCAAGGTATTCCCCTGCCTCCGCCTCCCAAAGCACTGGGGTCAGAGGTGTGAGCCTGGCCTGTACTTTGGCTTCAGAAAAGATCATACAACTGCAGTGTGAACAGAATGATCTTTGAGCAACTGCTTTGACACTGTGTATCTTACGAAGTGAAATTTATTTTACTTTCCCCCTTTCTTGTCCATACTCCTCGCCATACTTTGAGATTGGCTTAATACACTGTGAGTTCGGTCTTTAGACCAGCGCCTTAATGTAGAGTCAAAAAAACAAAACAAAACCAAACAAACCAAGAGAAAGCCCCCTGGCCACCTGTGCTAAACCTCCATGGACTCTTTTGGACGTGGAACCACGTACGTTTGTTCTATTTGAACCCAGGTCTGCGTGTGTTGCTTTTATATTTCATGATGCAGAATAGAGTAAAACCCGCCGTGCTCAATCAGGGAGGCTCGAGCTACCCCTTGGGGGACTCTTTTTTTTTTTTTTTGAGACAGAGTCTCACTTTGTTGCCCAGGCTAGAGTGAGTGCC